ATCCAGATTATGTTGAAACATTTAGTCAATTTCTTCAGCTTTGACATTTCCTTAGATGCATTGGGTTTCCAAGGACACAAATGGGTGGTGGTGACATTTGGTTAGGGTTGCCTTGCATGTGCTTGTTCCCTCCACAGTAAGAGTAATTGTTTCATTAGAAATGACAATAAACTTTATGAATCAGGGGCATGGTCATGGTTTGCAGCATGCTTGTTGGTGCTGTGGAGTTACAAAGGCTATCAGCGATAAGATCAGTGGGGGGTTTAGCCTCTTCTTGCTGCCGGTGCTAACAGGATTTAGCAGCCGTGAAACTGGGCTCCTCAGCAGAGCCCAACTGGCTTCCTGACTCACTCTTGTTTGACGCTGCCTTTCCGTCATCGCTCTTTATGGAAGAAAGAAAAGAAAAACCTCAGTAATCTTGAGCACAATTGTTTGCCCTCCAATGAGGCCAAAAAAATCTGCAGGGGAGCAAGAGGGAATGTGTGGGATTGTATGTTTTCCTGCGTTTCTGGCAGCGTTCTGGAAGAGGGAACTCTTAAGAGGTTCTTCCAAATTGGAGTAAGAAGAAAAAAGAAATAACTCTGGATGGGGAGGGAGCTCATCTTCTGAAACCATGGAAACCTAACTAGGTCACTGCGCAAACTTTTTTTTTCTCCCCCCCCCCCTTTTTATGATCTGGTTAAGGCAGGGGTCTGCATAAATGTGTCCCATTTCCATATCAAAGACGTTTGAGACCCTTCTCTCGTGTGGCGTTGTTTGTTTGATTGCTGCCCTTTCATTGGCTTCTCCAGGGCAAGCATTAGCAGGGACCCCTTCTACGACATGCTGGCCACCAGGAAGCGGCGCATCGCCAACAAGAAGTGAAGGGAGACAATCAAGTCAAGCTCCAAAGTGCTCCATCTTCCTCTCTCTTGGTTCACGAAGACACAAATGGCATGCCGCTAAGCTGGTTCACTTGGGAAACTGAAGACCCGAAGACAAACCTGGACACTCTATATGTGAGGGGAACATATAAATCTCTACTGTAATGTAGAAACCAGTTGAACCAGCCGGTTTGTGTCCTCTTCATCTCATTTACCACCCCCTACTCATATCAAAACATGTTTTAGTTGCCCCCTAAAGCACAACTGCCATGTTTCAGGTGCACATGCATGTATGTGGCTTATTATAAAGAACTATGTTTGTGTTTTGTATGTGTGTGCAGCAGTGTGCATGTTAAGTTTGTTTGCATACAGTGTGAAAGTATTTCCTCCACTGTGCTTTAAAAAAACAAAAAACAATAGTTGTTGAAGCTACAAACCAGAGTTCAGGTGGATGGCCATCAACACCGAGGTTAAAAGAATAAACAGGAGGAGGAAACAGATGGACGTTTTTAAGGGATGGAGGCTGAGTCGGTTCAGTCGAACCGCACCTGGACCGCGGCGTCTTCTCATTCTGGTGCTGAGCTCGTCTCTCCTGGTGCCCTGCTCAGAGGAACCTCAAAAACAGTGTCAAAGAAATAGACTATGTTCTTTTCTTTGGGAGCAGAGACTTGAAATGTGCATACTTTGTTATATTTTGGTTTAGTAACGGTGCTTTTATACGAGACTTCAAAATGTAACCCTTTTAGACCTGAAGTCATAATCCTTATTCCCCAATCAGACTTTTGGACACCAGCTTTTTGTTTTGAAAATGCAAGCTCTTCAGCTCTCATGTGCCATGTAAACGGCACCTTTGAAGATCCAACGCAACTGTGATTCAGTGACCCAATAATGACATTGCACATACTGACGTTACATTATTTAGCAGGAGCATGAGAATGAAACCTTCTGAAGATCCTGAAGGTTTCAGAATGAAAGTGAAGCTTTGGAAATTAACGTCTGTCTGATTCGTTCAGCTAATTATAACCAAGATGGTGACTTCTGGGAGAAGTGATGTTTCTACTCTTGCTGGTTTTCACACAACATAAAACAAGAGTCCGTCAAAATAAGCACAGATACCTCGAAGGTACAACAGGACTTGATGTTCCACAAAATCTTGCATATTTCCTCAAGTTGATCCCCGGATTTAAAAAAATGACAGACTACATCATTCCAAGATCTGAAATAGTGCATACGTAGCTTTATATGATTGGTTTCAAAACTGCTACAACCTTCCTTTATACTGTCCCTGTAGTCTACAAGCTTTATAATGAGATCCTAGAAAAGTATCACAGAGCTGCGCCTTTAGAAACATCTATTCTACTTTGGCACTTCACTCGATTGCAGCACCTAAAACTTGCATTTAGCTTACTTGCCCCATGCTTTGAAGACAAATTATAATCAACAATACCTGGCATTAGCTGGTGCTAAAATATATCAAGAGATCTGATTCCTGGGGTATCTTAAAGATTATGATCTCAAAAGCGCTTTCATTTTCAGAAAGCCATTTCGGTCTAAAAGAAGGGTTTGCTTTTCTCTCTGCAGCAGCCCAGTTGGTACCAGTCCAATTAAGCTCTTTCCAGTTTTTTTAATTTTTATTTTATTTCTCTACTGCGTATGTTGGTGAAGGTTAGTGTATTGTTGTGATCCTGTTTGAATTTGATTCTTGCTTGCTTTTGTGTTCCTCTTTAAGATTTTCTACTTAAAAACCAGCTATCATTTTTTTGTATTTATTTTTATTCGTGATATGATTTTATTATTACTTCCTGTAAATCTTAAATAACGTATGCCTAAGTTATGTATGTGTATATATATTGTATAGGTTTTAGTGTCTTTGTTGTAGTATGCACACTAACATTTTTGCATCTTGCTAAAGTTTGGGATCTTCTTGGCAAAAGCCTTAAACAATCATTTGATAAAAATAAAAAAAAGACTGATGGAAGTAATGAGGAGAATCTAGGTCGACTGTGACAAAGCTGTTTAAAAGCCATGACTAATGAGAAAAAGATTGTTATATTTATAAAAATGGAAAAGATTATAGTGAATATGATGTTTCATGTAATGGATGATGATTATATAGTTGATAAAGATGTCAAAAAACACCAATAGTTTTGTATGTGATTGTAAAATAAAAATATAGGCCTTGTGAAATAAGGGCATAATTTTATCTTCTGCAGCCCTATGTGGGCATGTGGTCGCATTAATTTTTATATTCTCTGTAAGAGCTGTTTGGTCACGTTGTACATTACGTGTATCCACATAAAGTATACTTAAAGCTTGGGATATTCATTATTGACGCTCGTCTTGACCTACTTCTTTGCATAAATGAACTTTAAGTCACGTTGCAGAAAGGTATTAATTACTTTTCAAGTGCAGAGAAAGACTGTTTTGCAACGTGGCTGACTAAAGGCAATCAAGGTAAGCAAACAGGAAGTAGAACAGGATACGTTGGGAAAAACCGGTTGTGTTTCTGCAAAAACACTTATTGGGCAGGACATGGAACACTGGTGCCCCCTACAGGCGCTTTCCTTAAAATTACAATTTGAAAACTGTTCAGTTAAATTAGCAAAGAATGATCAACTTATAGTGTTGCACAAGGTTTACTTCACTATACAGAAATAGTTTTACAGTACAACATATCTTGTTCTTTCACAATATAGAATAAAAGATGACAATGGAAGCTATTCATATCGTCTCTAGGATAAATTTAGCTTCCCAATCAAACAAAAACAGACCCTTCCGTGACTTCAACTCTATTGCTTTTCACGAGTTTTGTCCATTGTCTGGAAACGGTGTGTATTTGCACACATTTTTCAGACCTGGATATCTGGAGAAAGGACATGTCTGTTACTATCATGTGTCCAATTCACTGAAATGGTGCACAAATCCGCAGATTATCCATCCATAGAAATAAACTGAATTAAAATTGATAGATTAGCACATCTATCCATCCATAATTTTTATGTTATTTTTGTTAAAGGCTCTCTGCTATAAAAAATAAGATATATATATATATATATTTTTTTTTTTCCTTCAACAATTGACTGGAAAGGACTGAGGAAAAAAAAACAGGAACACAGAGAACAGTCAGATTCAACCAAAATCACAATTTAGCCTCTTAAGATGATAATTTCTGTCTCTTGCAAAAACTGTGGCATCATTATGCAAAAAGTTATATTTTTCACAATTTCTGCTATTCTTATGATACCGCCTCTTCGTGCTGAGCAGTGAAAATGTGAATTGTAGAGGATCACAGTTTCCACAGTCAGAGATCCTGAATGATTCCCTAATCAAACCATTTCAGAGTTGAAGTTTAGGTCTGTGATAAAAACTAATTTGTAAAAATAGGACTTTCCCCCCACTTTTTTGCCCAAAAAGTTGTTAACTAAGCGTTCATGGAATTGAAAGAGTACTCACTCTAAAACAATGTCAAATGTGTAACCTAGTGGCTGAAGTGTAAATTACACATGTTAATTCTCAATAATATAGACCACTGCATGCTGTTGTCCTAAAATCATTTATTACCTAGGTGATTTAGTGTGCTACACACTTTTATCACAAAAATATTTATACCATGGACAATACTCAATAATTAACATCTATTCTTGTTCTGATTTCCAACATCTGTTATCAAAATGCTTAATCTATACAAAACAGACTTCTATAATTTGCCAGGGCATAATATCGCTGTTTCTTGTTTGAAATGGGGGGCAATACTTGACCTTGCCAATAACACCACACAAAAAACCCTAGTAATTTATTTTAATATACCACACATTTTTCTGATACAGAATGTAATTTGATTGCAGAATCAAATAAAATCTACAGATGTGACAGAAACTAGAACGATCAAATTTAACACAAATTTTAGGATAAAAAAACATATGCATGTCTCCAGGACAAAGATCATTTTCCCTAACGGAAAAACGGAAAATAAATGCTAAAATTCTGCATTAACTGGATGCTATGGTGTCGTGATACATGTTTTTAGAGCTAACCGTAGCTAACTCCTTGAACAATAGCGTTCTAAAATACAAAGTACATAGTCGTTTGTAAAGGAATTAACTCTCAAACCTCTCCATATTTCGTCACCTTACAATCTCAAGATTTATTATGTTTTATTGAGTTTTGCATTGTGGACCAAAGAAGGTCATTCTTTGAAGTGGAAGGAAAAAGTATGGTCATCAGGCACCTTAGATTCTCAATGGTGTTTGAGTAGCCAAGAGAGAAGAGTCATCTTCTCATCGGTCACTAGATTGAGTTTTTAATTAATGTTTCAACTAACTAATAATTTTAGATGTACATATAACAACAAATGCAGGTTGTAGCAGGTTCTTTCATGGGATAATAGCATTAATTTCCACAACTGAAACTATAAATTGTACTAATGATATATTTAGATTTATTTTTCTTGTCATTAAGTTGGAAACTGTGCTTTTTTCCAATTCGTTTTCCGCAAATGTCAACACCTCATTAAAGTTGGAAAGTTATGTTTTTCCTAATTGTAAAACCTAAAAATAGAAATAAAATTGTGGCTCTTTAAATTAATTTACTATATTCAGTAAGATTTGTGGCTGTAAATGGGTTTTATTGAGCATGAAAGAGGGTAAAAATGGCTCTTTGGATTGATAACCCTGGTCGGTCATAGAAGATCCTAACGAAATTAAAACTTTTCAGCATTCAAGCTACAAACGCACTGTGACTATTTACAAAGAAATCTTTTCTTCCTAATAGGAATTAACTCAAGACTTGTGACCAACAGCACTCACTTATTTGGAGGGTCTCTTTTCAATATAATGAAACTTCTTTGTTTCACTTTGCTATTTGATTCTTTAAGAGATTGCTCAGTGACCTTTTATCGACCTCTGTTGACTCAGCAAGGTGAGGATGACACCTGGTCATAGTCCGGACATTTGAGGAGAGCGGGGTAGCTGGCGCTCATCTGCAGTGACGCTTCGCTCGAAATGTCAGAGGGGCTTCGTCCACGCGACCAGGACTCTGGATGGAGGAACTGACCGGAGTGGTCGGAGCAGTTGCTGAGCCGAGGCCGATAGAAATTGGGGCGGCGAGCCTGGTAGATCTCCTCTGCTGTGTAGCGCTTCATGAACAGGTAGACAGACATGACTCCCGCACTCTGCAGTGGGAGAGAGGAAATTATTCGAAATAGCTTGTGGAAATAATGTAGCGTAAATACTATATAAATTCAATCAATTTGAAGCGTGGAGGTATTTAAAACATGAACCAGGGCAGGGAAACACTGTAGCACTACAGTTCCTCATTGTGACCAGCAGAGGTCACTCTACCCATTGACCACATCTTTTTAGCAGGAGTTGTTTTAAAGTGGTGGAGAGAGAAGATTAAGATCGAAAAAACGGATAAAATGTAGTTATTTTAATGGTCCAGTACATTTTCCTGAGTAATTAACTTACTGAATATTTATAAAGTGCCGAAAATAGGCACAATGAAATAAATAGGTCAACAAGTCAAGTGTTGTATTTTAAAATGGGAAATACATCCAATGGAGAAAAAAAAATCAATATTTTCAAAGATAGTTAATCAAAATGCGGAAATAATTAACTGAAAGTTGAATTTAACATGTTTAAAACACAATTGATCATTTCAGTTTTCATTAAAAAAAAAAATAAAAAAAAATGTCTGCATTTAATACAGCCGTACAAGGAACCAATAGTATGTTACTTTTACCACAGCTCAAATGGTGCAAAGCAAAGATCTTGCAGTCATTTTTGTACCTCAGTGAGCAGGAAGGAGAGGGCAGCGAAGGCGAAAGACCAGCCATACTTGTAGGAGAAGTAGGCCTCACTGCTCTTTGTTCTGTTCAGCATCTCATCATTTATGCTGGAGATGTACAACACCAGACCCACCACTAGAGCCAGCCCTGAAACATAGAGAATTGTTTCGTGAACATGGTCAGGAAATAAAAAAAAATAAAAAATAAAAAAAAACTTCAAAAACTTAAGACAAATAATCAAGATCTGTGTACCAGAAAGGATGAAGAAGATTCCTGAGACAAACGCCAGGATGGTGCGGTGAGGACGCACGTGTCCAATGTTGTTGAGGACAAAACCGATGAACATGAAGAAGAGGCTGACCAGAGGGAATGGAGTTGCTGAGCGGATCATCTCTGAGAAGACGAAGCAGAGAAAAGAAATTGTAGGGCATTGTTTTCATTCATGTTGATGTGGAGATAAGTTACTTCTTTACTGGATTGAACTTGTAAACACTTTTTCCTGACATTTTGTCCTCAGCTGCACTGTTGACTGTGTGTGATAAGTATTCTGGAGAGAAACAGGCAGGAACTCAAGGTTTCTGATGACTCATTTGTCGGAATGCTTTCAGATCAGGTATTTCTGAATGGACATGCATTAGAGAACAACAAGCTCTCATCACAGAACAAAACTCCAGCTGGTTGCACAAGTGCCTTGAACAACACCAGAAGGACGCATTTGCCTTCAGCTTAGGTTTTCTTTTTCACTCACTGAGTACATTTCCTGTGGACTCCGACGTCAGCTGGAGACTCATTGGCATCATGTACTCGATGGTGAAGCAGCGGCCGGATTCCTCACCTGAGAAAAGAGGATGATAAGCAAAGTAGAAAACAGAAGATGAGCTCTGATTTGCACTGTTTCGCTAGAAATCTTAAAATCAAGTGAAGCAGTTTTATATTTAAAAACAGGAAAATGTTAAAATGCTGCAGGGAAATGAGTTGATTTCTAAAATTTTGATTGTCTTTATAGTGAATTTATTTTGTTTACTGAGGGAATTATGCTGTGGTGATCCATACAATTTCAAATCACCTGCTTTCAACCTGTATAATATTTAGCGGAATGTTTTCACTTTGTACATCATTATGCTGCCACTGCCATGTTTGACACTTGCTGCTGTGTTTTTAGGTTAAAAAGCCTCCATTTGACTCTTCCAAGCATTCTTCTACATGTTGTGAAAAATAATTGTATCTTTTTATCGTCTCTTTTGAGCATAAAACGTCTCTCTACAAGGCATTTTGATTTTCTATGTGAGTATCATGGAGTTTAATCCTTACTAATTTCTTTTAGGCATGATATTTTTTGTCAAATGATTGACAATGATTGCTAATTTTACTTTTTTTTTAATTATTTTTTTTACAACTGATAATACATCCTCCATCTGCTCTTAGTTACTGCAAAGCTCTCCTTTAGCTGTGGATAAGAAATTGATTCTCAGTCTGCCTTCAGTGTATTTTTATTTTTGCAGAAGTGTGGATTTACACGGCATTAGGTGGAGAGAGAGGATGTGATGCAACTCAGTCGACGTAACACAGAGTCCAGCTGGAAACATCCAGTCTGCTGCACAGCGGCGTGGCATCGCTCTGTTGAAGCTCGTTGTTTATGTGTAACACGGCGCATCACTGAAATCGCCTCCTCTTTATAGCGTGTGACTGAAACCGGACTCAGACGCTCCCAGCCGCTGTGAATGTCAATTAAACGACTGTCGACGCGTCAGTGTGACACGATCGGTTATCTCCCCGGTTACGAGACGAACATCTTTAAAAGCGAGAGCGTGAAATTCGTTTTTCACCAACCCTGATTAGCAGACGGCTCGCTGTCAAAATTCATCACAAATCTCTGCATCACCCCTTAAAGCATGTTAATGTTACCAACCAGCCAGAAAGCAGACCCTCCAGAGACCTGAGTGCAGCGACGTCTTGATGTCAGCCGTCTGGTTCACAGGCATGATGACTCCCTCCTCCAGGTAGAGCCAGTAATCTGTGCTCACCGCCACTCCCAGCAGCCCCAGGCCGCTGATTGCAAAGACGCTGCTGAGTAAAGTCAGAGCCTTCCTGCTGCACGCACTCATGGTTTCCAGAAGATGCTTGTTAAAATGATAATGATAATAATAATAATAATAATAATAATAATAATAATAATAACTGGGTCCTGGAGTCTTCCTGGAGGGAAGGAAGGAAAGAAGGTGTTTAAGTGATGAAAATATGTGGAAAATTAAAAGGGCGAAATCCATCGGTGGAAGTCTAAATTTTTTTTTTATTTTTTATTTTAGAATAAATTCCAAATAATTTAATATTGGTCATAATATAAATGCATACAATAAATAAAATACTTGTTTTCAAAACAGCAATTCTGATAAAATCTTACACATGCGTTCAAAAAAAAAGATTACGCAATCTCATTCATTCAGAGTTTTAGATGTGTCTGCAAGTGTTGAGCTCTGTGAACTCATCTGAGCAAAAAGCGGTGAAAATTTGGAGCAGGAAAGATGACAGACAACTGACTTAAAGGTGAAGATGAAAATCTCTATGAGCGCCAAGTCTCAAAGCAATCTCATCGAAACGATGCAGGGTTAAATCAATAAAACCTTTAATGTTCATTTTAGATCTGTTTTCAGTCATGTGCCAGAGAGCAGACCTCTGCCATATCTATTCTCATTTTTAAATTCTCTTCATGTCCTGCCTAACTCCAGGCAACCTGCCATGAAAGAAAGAATAAAGTGGAAGCCATTTATGAAGCCTTTTGAGCCTCCAGACTAAAAGACCTGAAATACGTTGCAGACTATGAATACAAATGCTCGCATTGTTTAAAATCCACTCCTCGTTTTTGACATTTGCAGGCACTGAGTAGAAGCCAGTCGCTCACAGACACAATCAGTCTGCAGATATGGGTGAAGAATTGCACAGTAAGACGTCATCTGGAGAGGAAAAGTGGTAATTTAGACCTCCCACTGGGACACATACGAATGTGGGCTGATTTGCTAAGGCACAGAGTATCAGAGGGCAGTGCAAATCGACAAAGGACTTTTAAACATGCACTTTCTAAACCTTAACTTTGTTTATTTCAAAACAGCCTGAAGACATTCATCTATCAACTTGAGATATTAGCATCTCAAAAGTTGATTTTTTTTTTTTTTCTAAATGAAGCAGCTCTTTAAAGTTATGTAGATTTAGCATCCCGACCTCGGGTTGTTATGCATCATCACAAGCAAACAAGACAGCTGATTAAAGTCCTGCACCACCTGGGTGCCAGCTGGGAACGCTGTCAGTGAGATCAGCCAGACTAGGAAGCTTTTTACCTCTTTATTCGGCAGAAATAAGTTATTTTGTCTCCAAATGAATGCAAAATAGGCTTTGAAAATATAAAAAATTAAAACAATGGGATAAAATGCATTACATGTTTTATTGATGTACTTATGAATCGTTTCTTCAGCTGTTTGTAAGTGATGAGTGTGTTATCTACAGCTAACACACTGCCAATGATTAACCAGCGAATTTAGCTGTGAACAATTATTGACACCTCCTGTAAAGCAGTGTAAACAGATTAAAAGATAGTTCAAATTTAAAACAGCTGCAAAAAATTCAATACAAAAATGTAAGCCTAAATTTGCTTTACATTGAGTGTTTTTTGTTTTGTTTTTTGTTTTTTTGTTTTTTTACATAAAAACACATCTCTGACTGAGAAATAATTGTTTATATAAAGAAAAAAACTACTGGTGCCACACTTATTGGCACGCTTAACAGTTCTGGCAAAGTAAATGTGACTGAAACCTTCATTATGTAAAAAAGTTATATATTATAAGTATCATTCTCTCCTAGGAAATTGCAAAAGGAAAATGCATACCTGTGCATATGTGTTAGACGTAGCCATAATTAAAAAGTTTAAAAAACACAACTCAAGGACACAAAAGGATGGACGAGGATTCATCTTTATCTTGACAGCACACACACAGAGCAGGATGAAATGGAAGGTAAAAAAAAAATTCTTAGTATCCATCGTTAGATGTCAATTACAAGTTAAAAAGATGTGAGGAATGCCAAGAAAACATCTCTCTGTTCAGCCATCAGGAACGTGAGCGTGTGGAGTTGGCTGGAATGAGACGTTTTGGTCAGATGGGACCTGGATTGAAATTTTTGGGCCACATATATTTCAGCTGGACTTGAAAAACAAACACTGAGCTTGTTTCAAAGTATGGTGGAGGATGTGTGATACTGTAGGCCTGTTTCTCATCCCTGTAATTCATAAAAAATTTATTTAAGAATTTTGAAATACTAAATAATAATCAGGTAAATTCTTGCTATTCACTAAGAACGGATCATCATTAGATGATTCAACAGCATAATGAGCTACAATGACCAAATGATGCAGAAATTTCCACAAATGTCTTTAAATTAAAAGGGTAGACATTACAAGAAATTCAGAGAGATGATGTTGCAGCACTAAAATATAAATTAAAAATTCTATGACATATTCTTTTGCTCATTATTGTGGCTTTTAGCAAATAGAAATAAATTTGGTACTTCTAGAAGACCTAAAATTATAGAAGTTTGTCTTGATTTAAGTTTTTTGTGTTTTTTTTTTTGCAAGTGTTTAAGTTAATTTAGAAACAAATTTCTAAAGAAGTTACTTGAAATTCAGGTCCTCCAGGCTGGACAGTACAACAGGAATGAAACAGCCAACTCAACAAGAATGTCTGACGAGTTCAAGGTGAAAACCATCAAAATACCCAAATACGTCCAAAAGCATGTGACGTTTTTCACAATGACTACAGTGTTCAGTTTTCTCCTACCTGTTTGTAAAAAGCGTTAACCACAAAATCTTGCAGCTCAAGGTTAAAAAAAAAAAAAAGTCCTGATGGAAGAATAATGAGGTAAATTCAGCAGTGATCAATAAAATCCACCGGAGAACAGGGAAATGACGGAGACGATGAAGCAGCGAGTCGATGCTACAGTCCAACGGGTGAGGGAGAGACAGAGAGAGAGAGAGAGAGAGAGCTACTTGGTCCTGCTCTGCTGTCTGATTTCTGTTGCTCATTGTGCGAAAACTCACACAGAGAGAGAGAGAGACAGAGAGAGAGAGAGACAGAGAGAGAGAGAGACTCAGCAGCTGCAACTTCAAATGACTTTGAGCATCACTAGCAAATTCCTAGAGGAATTCCTAGATTTTAGGTAAAGGCTTTGTTTTATGTAAAGATGACCTGACTCCAAAATGAATCTTGATTAAATTATGAAAAAATGACTGTAAATGCAGCGCTCACCTGAGCTTCCAGGCTGATGTCAAAACCTAAAGATGGACTTCATGCTGCTTTGTTTTTTCACACCACCCAACCCATAAAATATCTGGTTATTTTAAGATCAGAGAAAACAAATGTAGCTTTTGAAAGTTGGTTCTTTTTGCTGTTTTGCAGAAGCAGAGAATCAAACACATTTGAGCAGTAATACCACACAAGGAAAGCAATCAATAAGACATTATGATGTATATTTTTATATATATATATATATATATATATATATATATATATTTCATACTTTATTTATACACAGTATCCGTCATACCACAGAGAACAGAGGGACAAGAAGAATCAGGTTACAAAGCAGGAACACTGAGGGGAAACATACAAACTGCTCTGTAGCTCTAAATGTAACCTGCAGTAATTCTTTACCCACAAAACAGATTGAAAAAAGTTTTTCTCCAATCCAACATAGTTTCTCAATATGAGACATGTAAACGTTCAAGTTTCTTTTAAAATATTTAATTTTGGTCCAGATACATACAGTGCCTTGAAACAGTATTGAACTTTTGTTGCTTCGCAACCCCAAACTTCAATTTATTACATTGTGATGTCATATAAAGACCAAGGTCATCAACTCATGTTCTCAAAAGCTGTTGTCCTGCAGCTTTTAGTTGCATCCTTGGTTCGAAACTCCGGTTTGTAACATTTATGAGAACGTTTTATTTTATTTTTTATTTTTTTACACATTTATTAAAACTGACACTTTGTCGCCAGAGTAGATTATAGTATAGACAGATAATCTGTGAAAAGAATAAAAAATAAAGCTCTTCTACTGCCTTCAGAAATATAAACATGAGGCCGACTGATTTTTGTAGATCACTGTAGTAGCTCAGGAAAAAGGCAGAGAATCTATCTGTCCCACACGATACTGTATTAGAGAGGCAGTTTTAACAAATGTGTAAAAAACTATTTTTTTTTAAATAATATTTACATATTGTAGCTTTAATACACCTGAATGAAATGGTTGAATTTCCTGCTCTGGATATCATCTAGTTCTGAGAAGTTTGTGTGATTCAGATGTGTTGAAGCATCTAAAAGCTACAGAACAGAAACTCTTGAGGATCTAACATGTCCGCGACAGACCAACATAACATAGTGTGTAAAATAGTGAAGCGAAAGGAAATACCAGGCAAGAAAAACCTTTATCAGACACTGGAGGAGCTGCAGGGTTATGCAGCTCAGGTGGAAAAAATCTGACAGCCACTCTACACTCTGCCTTTAAAGGAAAGTGACAAGAAATACGTTGTTGTTGAAAGAAAGACTTTGGAAGTCCCATTTAAAGATTATTACACAAACAGGACTCATGCTGGGCACCGTAAACACAGGCTAACCCCTGGCGGTGGCAGCATCATGATGTGGAGATAGTTTTCTTTGGCAGAAACTGGAAGGCAGGTCAAAGTTGATGTGCAGATGAATATAATACAAAACAACTAGATATAAACCTGTTAGAGGCTTCAAAAGACTCAACCGCGGCACAGAGAATGACTTTCCAACAAGACATGACCCAGTCAAAGCCCAGGGGTAAATTCAACTCAGAATCTGCAGCGAGACAATTTGATGTTAAAAGGTGATTTCAGTCTAATCTAACGAAGCGTGAGCGAAGCTGGTAGACAAACACCCTGAAAAGATCTAACAATGCGTTATTTTTACCTTACAGTTATGGATCGGTGTGTGTTACTCTGCCATATAAAATCTCAGTAAAATACATTGAAGTTTGCTCGTTGTACAGAAATAAAATGTGTGAAAAAAAAAGTCAAGGTGTCTGATTACAAGTCACTGTACGAAGTGCAAACTCAGACAGCATGCTGAGATTTAATTCATGGGTTTTGAGTTGTGCGAGAATCTAAAAATGGCAGCTTTTTGAAGATTTTCCATTAGAAGTTAGTATCTCTCAGCGACAAAGCGGACAAATTAAGTGTGCTGAATACATGAACATGTGCTTGGCACCAGAGAACACAAACAGCCACGTCAAACAATTCACATTTCTTACACTGCTCAAAATCGCGCTATTTCAGCCAAACAGATTAGGCTACATGACAGAGAAAGAGGAGAGACATGACAACAACAAACAAAAAAAAAATTACACACTGCTGGCTGGTTTTCTCATTCTGCACGACATCACGGTCTCTACATCATGCAGGGGCCTTTTTTCATGCTCGGATCAGGCCTCGCCTCACGCATGCACACGATATAAATATAAAGACATGACACGTTTCGGCCACAGGGCGCTCCAGAATCGTTGCACCGTTACGGCTCGGTTTGGGATTCAGTTCGTCTACAGAGGGTGTTGACCCTGTCGGGACCAAGGCAAGAGGGGCATTCGATCGCTCCACGCACGGGTAGTGCTGCATATTCTCTATATGACACTGAGTAGTAGAAAACAGCGGATAAATACTTGGTATACATACGTGTAAGACAGGGTTTGCTGATACCAAAGCTACCAAAGAATCAGCCAAACATCATATAGATCCGTTTTCAGGACTAATCTAAACATAGAAATGTTCAAACCGTCTATGGTAGTAAAAGCACATTCATTTTGTTGTATAAAATCGGCAAGTAACATCTCTTCTTGAACATATTTACACGGGGGAAAAAAACGACGACGACAAAAAAAAATAACATTGGGGTCGGACCTCTTTGAACGCAAAAGTCAAACACAAAACCTTTATCCCAATAAGAAACTTTTAATCCGAGTAAACATGTATATTGTTGAATTTTATACCAGTATACTAAACTTTACAGTCATACAAGACGTGTACTGCATCCTAGACCCTACAGCTCATACAGAGTCAGAAAATAAGCATGCGACAGAGATCTGCTTTGTGCATATGAAAATAGCATCTCGCTAACTCAGATTTTTTGCCGAACGACACTTGCCCACTGCAGCTAACACCTGCTGTGCTGAAAAGACCAGGATGAATTGCAACATTAAAACACGGTTTGCTTCTGTCTGTCCAAATCGAGTCAGATATACTGTAGTAACACGCTCTACAAAACGACAAATACAAACGGCCTCTTGTTGAGACGTTTTAGTGAGTCGACAGGATAAGGAAAGGCCAAAGGTGGAAAAAAAAAAAAAAAAACCAATAGAAATGTATTTTCATCTCTACTTTGGCACTCGTGTAACAGTGTACTAACTCTTTTCTCAGTGTAGAAATGTAACAAACATGTAGATAAAGTTCAGGCAGAACGGGGGCCAGGGGGAGGTGTGATGCTTCAGTCTTTTTGTGCATTGCGGGGATTGTACCTTTAACACCAAAAGAGATAGTAACTGATACCGAGACACATTCATTCACAAGATAAAAGGCTGCAGGTCTGCAGAAAACCACAGCTGGGAGTCTGGAAACACGGAGTTGGACTAAATAATGCACCACAGGACGGAGAGTTGGAAATCAGTGCCAGTTCCCTTAAATTGCATGATTCTCAGATGCAGAAACTAGAGGACAAACTGAGTCTGTTGGCCATGGGACGCTTTAGATGTTTCCTCCTCATACCACGCTGTGTAGAGACGGATGGATAAACTGAAGGTTGATGAAGGAGAAGCCAGCGAACTCGCTCTGGTCGATGTTGGCGATGACCAGCTGGTCTGGAGGGGTCAGTACGGGCTGCGTGCGCGTGAAGAACTTGTCGAAGTTTTCCGCTCCCTTTCCACACTGCAAGAGATGAGAAGATAGAGCAGAGAGAGGAGTGTTATGTCAAACATCCTAAAGTTTTCTGCTTTGGAGGGGTTCTCAATGGACCAACAGGGAGGGTGAAATTTCAATGGTCAACAAGTCAAAAGCTGCGATGAGGAAGACCCAACAATGGACATTATTTAGCAGGCACTATTTTTTTTATGCTTCTAGACCTTTTTAAATAGAGTAATATATAAAGTTTTTAAATCAACATAATATTGCCATCCTGTCAGAATCTATTTTATATATATATATATATATATATATATATATATATATATATATATATATATATTTATATATATATATATATAGATATATATTCTTTATTCTGTCCACTTTCTGTATTCTGAATGACAATGAAGTTTGTCTAAGTTCAAGTCAGTGTAGAAACCCCCCCAGATGTAATTACAATATATTTACTCAGTGGGAGGCTGACTGCAAATACACAACACACTTATACACACACTTTTTTTTTATTTCTGGAAAACTACCTCACAATTGCACAATAATTTTTCTTGGGCAATCCCTATAAAACACATTGAAGGTGGTAGTATAACAAAATATGAAAAAGTTCAAATGTGCCTGACCGCTTTTTGCAAAGCATTGCATGCTCTTTTATACAATGAAATACAGATGATGCACTCAGAAAAAACCAATAATTTGTCATATTAAATTTCAGCACTTCTTCTTTGCAATGCATCTACTCAGGAGACACATTAGCTTTCCAGATATTTTCAGCTGCTCCATAATTTAACACAAGCAGAGCCTTAAAGGGTCAGATGGATCAGTTTGCTGTCCCTTCAAACCAATTTATGTCACAGCACACGATCTCACAAATGTAATAAGCCACACAGAGCAGCTCTAATAGAACCACCTGCTTTCAGAAGTGTTTTCCTCTCCTTATGTGTGGCATCCAGTGTGCAGTTTTGTGTTTATTTGGTGTGGAAGTAAAGGGCAACTCTGCTATTTTTAACCATCAGTGGAAATGCTTCAGGCTTCCTGGTGCTGAGGGGATGAAGGATGGGGCGGTCAGCAAGCAGAAAA